TGTACTTGTGTTGTGAGAGAAAAAAGGCCTGCCTGAATAGGTACAACTTCCACACCTAGGAAGTAATGAAGTAGACCCATATCCTTAAGAGAAAAACGATCTCCCAATTGCTTGATAATTGAAGCCACAAAAATTTTGTTATTTCCTGTAATCACAAGATCATCGACATATACCAAGAAATAACAAATTACAGAATCCTTTCTATAAATAAATAAGGACGAATCAGCTATAGAATTTTCAAACCCAAGCTCAAGTAGTGCATTTTTCAGTGTATTGTACCAAGCCCGAGGGGCTTGTTTAAGCCCATATATTGCTTTTTGGAGTCTGCAAACATGATTGGGTTTAGATGGATCTTTGAACCCCGGGGGTTGCATCATAAATACCGTTTCAGACAATGCACCATGTAAAAAGGCATTATTAACATCCATTTGCCTTAACTCCCAACCATTCAAAACAGCAATAGACAAAACTGTTCTAATTGTGGCTGGTTTAACCACTTGACTGAAGGTTTCTTTGTAATCAAGCTCAGGACGTTGATTATAGCCCTTTGCAACTAAACGGGCTTTGAATCGATCCACTGACCCATCAGATTTCCTTTTTACCCGGAACACCCACTTGCAGCCCACTGGATTACAATTCAGAGGAGGTGGCACTAAATCCCAAATGTCATGTTTCATGAGAGCTGTAAGCTCATTTGACATAGCATCACGCCACTGTGGTTGAGACAAAGCCTGACTCACACAGGTTGGTTCAATGGACTCAGGGAGTGGATGTTTAGACACTGAATTAAGTTGTTTGGGTTTAAAAATTTTGTTCATAGACCAAGTGGTCATTTGGTGAAGGCGTTGAACTGGTGGTGGATATGGGTTTTGAGCAGTCAGATTTTGGAAAGTTTCAGCTTGTCCTAGTGGTTGTGAAACAGATGAGGGATGAGGAACCAGTGAGTTGGAATCATTCACACAAGGATGCGAACTAGAACTAGGAGATGATGAATTCAAATTCAAGGAATTATGATTTAGATTTTCAGATGAAATCTGAAGCAAAGAAGAAGAAGAGTTGAGCAGATTACCTGAGGAGACTACGTCAACGGCATTTACACCTTCCGAAGTTGTGGATGAGGGCAGTAGAGCAGATGGCATCGACAAGGACACGGGCGTGACTTGGGCATCAAAGAACAAAGAAGTATTTGGGGTTGGTGGTGTGTGGGTTTTCGGGTTTGAAGAAGACACAGTGGGAGTGTTTGGTTCATCAAACAGAACATGCCTAGAAGTGTAGATCTTTTGAGTTTTGAGGTCAAGGCATTTGTAAGCACTTTGGACTTTAGAGTATCCAAGGAACACACAAGGTGATGATTTTGGCTGTATTTTGTGGGTGTTATAGGGCCAGGTAAGTGGGTAACAAAGACATCCAAATTTTCTCAATTTGAGATAATTTGGTTTTTGACCAAAAAGAGCTTTAAAAGGGGAAATATTTTGAAGAAGAGGAGTGGGTTGCCTATTGATTAGATAGGATGCTGTTTGAAAAGCATGAGGCCAATAGGAAAGAGGTAACAATGCATCATGGAGAAGAGTGAGACCCGTTTCAACTAAATGACAGTGACGATGCTCGAAAACACCATTTTGTTGTGGGGTGTGTGGGGCGGTGGTATAATGACCAATACCATTGGTCAATAAAAATGGTTTTAAAGCAATGAATTCGCCACCATTATCAGAGTACAAATTTTTTATTTTGGTTTGGAAGCGTGTTTTGACAAATTTTTTAAAGTGAGGAAAAATAGTAGATACCCCGGATTTGGTAGCCATTGGATAGAACCACATATATTTTGTGAAATGGTCAACCAATATGAGATAATAATGAGATCCGTCGACTCCAATATAATGTGCGGGTCCCCAAACATCAGTGTAAATAAGTTCAAGTGGTTCATGACTTTGAAGACTATTTGAATGAAAAGGTTGTTGATGTGCTTTATTGATGGAACAAGAATTACACAATTGAGAAATTTTATTTGTTTTGGCAACAGGAAGAGAAATTGTTTTAACAAGATGTTGGACTATTCGAAGAGATGGATGCCCAAGACGCTTGTGCCACCCATCAATGGAGGTCCGTTCATGCACATTAGCAACCATTTTGGAGGGGGAAGACATCATTGATTTCGGGAAGGTGTAAACACCGTTTTCACATTCTCCTCGAAGTAGAATCGCCCCCGTGATCTTGTCCTCCACAAAGAAATGAAATGGGTGAAATTCAACAAAAACATTATTTTGTTTGGTGAGATGATGAACGGAAATTAAATTTTTAGAAAGATTTGGAACGCAAAGAGTATCACTTAAGATAAAGGTGCGTTTGGGTGAGTGTAATTTCAAAGAACCAATGTGAGAGACAGTCAAACCTGAACCATCACCAAGAATTACTTCATCAGTACCATCATATTCAGAGTGAATGGATAAATTTGCAAGATCACCTGTTATATTGTGAGAGGCTGCTGAGTCCATGAGCCATGATTTGTCTTTTCCATTAGAAGAAGTGATGCAGTTGGCTGTAAATTCATTGGACTGTAGCTGAGGACAATATTTTGCAGTATGACCCATTTTCTCACACAACTGACAGCAGGGCGTGTAACGTTTCTGAGTGTTGTTATGCTTACTAGATCCATTATTAGGACGTCGGCCATCACGTTGGTGACTATTAAATGGACGGGTTGGGATTTGGCCTTGGTTACGTTGATACCCATTTGGTGCATAAGAAGTCTTTGAAAAGTCACCTCCAGAAGAAGACTTGCCCTTAGTTGTGTAATTAGCCGTCATCACCATTTGCTGAGTAGCTATCTCCAAACGCCGAAGATAAGATTCATGACCAACCAAGAGATCGTGCAGCTCTTCAAACACAGCTCTTCAAACACCAGGGACTTCTCTCGTGCTCGGATTGGTGCAGCAATCTCCCAGAAATCCGATCCTAACCCGTTCAAGACATAGAGAGTTAAATTGTCATTGGAAATAGGATGATCAATAATGGCGATTTCATCAGCCAAGGCCTTCACAACATGAAGATAGTTTGTGATCGATCGATTGTCGCGCTGGATTAAGGTGAGCTCCTCCTTTAACTGCATGGCACGAGTGCGTGATTGGTTAGCATATAAGGTTTTTAGTTTTTTCCAGGCTTCATATATGAGAGGTCTTTGCCGTAGCAATGAGTGGTGTGATTGACAGAGAGGTGGAGGCTAGAAGGGCACTCAAAAGAAGTTTATCCTGTCGGATCCAGTGGGTCTTGCATAGCTTTTCAGCGGCAGTTGCAGTGGAAGAGGGGCACAAAGAGGTGCCCTCGACATAGTCGAGTAAATCATAACCGATGAGGAGTGCTTTAAATTGAGCACGTCATTGAGGGAAGGTGGAGGGAGTTAATTTTTCATTGATTTAGGTAGTGATATTGAGAGCAATGAGTTGTTTGTCTGTTGCGGAAGGAGGTTGGGTGTTGAGGGTAAAGGTTGGATTTTGATCAGAGGAGGAAGACATAGTGGAGATTTGGATCGTTGACTCGTTAGAGATCGACACTTCTGATACCATATAAAAGAATGAATATTACAATGGTTTCAATGAACAATTTTCCCACGCTTTATTGATGTAATTTGTGCTGACTTATATACACAGTTAGGAAAAACTATTTATGGCAATGTACATCAATTTAGCTAAAATTATGCAGCAGTTACAGATATGCAGCAGTTACAAAAATATACAAACTTGATTGTGAATGATCTTGCTTGATTGTAGGCTAGATGTGCTCTGCTCAATCTTGACCTTGATTCTTGCAATCTGTCTTTATATGATTACAACCATTCCTAATTCTCTTGTCAAATATATTAAAATCTCTCTACAGTGATACGCTATATAAAAAAAAACTTTATATAATTATAAAAAATTATAATCCCAATTTATGATAGTTATAAATAAGAATAAACTTCACATTGTAATAAGTTATAATTTTTCTAATTCAGACTTTAAGGAAAGTCGCCTTTATAGTAATAAACTAATAATTATATATATATATTACAAAAAAAAAAAAAAAATTATATCACAGTAAATGTTTAAGATGAAATAAAATATTTATCTAAAGTTGTTTGGGATAATAATTTATGCTTTAGAGTTGTTATCACATATTTTAACTTGCGAGTAAGTAATAATTCGATAGCATGGATACATTCTTGTTGAAACCAAAATATTTTTAGCTTCTCAGGCATGTTTAAAGTCTCATGGCACGAAACTTTTTGAATTTCCGTACTATCATCCTCAGGTTTATTTCTTTTTTCTTCTTGTCTAATTGCAGCAATAATTTATTCTTCAGTTAAAACATACACGATTTGTTGCTCATTTCGATAATCGAAGAAGAAATTAATATCCATTTGATTTGTGTTGTGAAGTTGTCGAATCTGATCACTCAATTCTGCAATGACTATTTTATTCTTTTCATCAACTTTATTTGTAACTTGCAATTCATCGACATCAGCTTCGGGGTTCTTAATTTTGCAATGCTTAAAACCATTGATAATTGTCAGTGACTTCACATCAATTGATCATACATCAACTGTATTTAAAGTTCCATCAATGACACATATCTTTATTAGTTCTAAGACATAATCTTCTATCTATTTTAAAGTAGACAATTGAAATGCTAAATTGAAATCCTAATAATACTAAAATATGAATTGAAATCCTAATACTGTATTACTAAAATATAACTTATAAAATAAGAAATAGAAACAATAGTTTTTGTAACTACATCATTATTAAGTTATAATATTCTCATAATAATAAAATTAATTGATCCCACCATTATGGCTATAAAAAGATTTTATTGTAATTTGATCATCGCATGATGAGGCCCTCTAGCATTTCAGAAACTTTAACGTATGCCTGCATTTATGATATAGAACATATTTAATTTAATTGAAAAAGTAAATATATTGTATATTACACATAGAATGATTAAATTATAATTCTAACTTCCAAATTAACTAATTACAATACTTTCTGACTACACCTGAACCGTTGACACAAATGACTCCAATAATATAAGAGCCCCAACAAATGGCCCAAAACTAGCCTGTGCACCACTAGACATCGATTATTCAACCACCCAACTAACATATAACGAGGAAAACAACCCCACTACTACTTCCTTTACTTCTCTCTCCTCGTGCATTTTCATTTTCATTTTCATTTTCTAATGTATCATCCCCCAAAGCATCTCCATTTTTGAATCAATCCCCATCAAAAGTCAGATGGGACATGATCCTTTACTTCCGTTGAGACAGGTAGATGGGACTATTTCTACATAAACAAATCAAAGAATGGTATAATTACATGTAAACCACCCATATTATATCCACTTCTTAACACGAGCCTAACTACACCGCAAATGAACAACATTTTATTCTATTGTAACACTCCTATAAGTGTCCATTAAACTCTTGCCGAAGAACCAGGATTGCCTTTAACATGGTATACATAAAGCTCATTCATATGTTTACCTATTCCATCCAGGACTTACTCTGGCTGGGGATTGCAGCTGAAATCCAGTTGATGAGTGAAACAAGTAGTCGAAGTTAAGTCCTTTGGGCACCATTTCTGGATTCACAAGACTGCATATTGTATGAGCTGATCCCACATTTCACCAAAAAAAATGTCAACCTAGATAAGTCTACAGGCGAATTGGTAATCCATAATTCTGGAAGAATCTGATCCGTCCATCCCAACCAGCAGTTACAATAACCAGGCCCCACGCATGGGGAGAACCATGTGTGCTTTGTAAAGATGTATTGAGAAACTTGTACTGGGATTTAAGCATTGCAGACGATAAAACCATTGAGCTTGGAGGGAGAAGCTTCTCCTCAGGCCATGTCGCAGACCCCTTGGGCAAAGACTTTGAAAATATTCCATGGTTCAGTGGAAAATGTTCAGGAGAAGAGAATGGTAATTTGCATTGAGAACTCTCACCCAACTCAGATTGCTGTGACCTTCTCTCACTGCATCCCCAGAAGTTATCTGGAACCCCAAAGGATGTGGCTGCTCCTGATATGCTTGAAAAGATAGAGTTCCCACATGTCATCCCACACCAGGGAATGGCAACAGACACATTATTTGAGAAAAAACGTTCACATGACCAATTTTTCCTAGTTTGGGGCACAGGCCCATCATGACTAACATAATTCCACATGTAGACATTAGAGTCATCACTTGCTGAGACAACATGCCTCCCATCTGAGGTGAATGATGCTGATATCTGACTCCAGGAGTTATGCAGGCCTGAAAAAAAAAAAAAAAAAAAAAATGGGAGGAAAGAACTCTAAGAGGAGATGCAAGAGCTACCTAGGGATAAGAAGTTGAATAACACAATAATGGTCCAAAAACCAGAAAAATACATAGGTAACAAGGTCGCCTATTTTGCAATACGAATGCACATTGTATCAAATCATTGCAGCAAAAGAAGAAAGAAAAAAAACCCTCATACAACCAAGGTTTACCCCCCAAAAAAAATCATCGAAGCATTGCCACCCAAGGCTATGAACATTTTAAGCAGAGCCTGTAAGCTAACAAACAGACAACTTACTATATTTACACAATAGCTACTTAGTGAACAATACCTGACAAGTGACATTAAAATAAGCAAACAATCACCAACCTCGAAATTTGTAGATTGTATCTACACCTTGAAGAATTCGGACTTGTGAATCAGCAAAAGTGACCATCATTTTAGTTGAGTCACCAGGAGAAAACTGCAGCGAGGATATCATCAATTTGTAAAATATTCAACACATAATATGAAAAGCTTGAGAACATGCACATCACATATGCCATAAGACGAAACATATAAGAAAGATCACCTGCAAGCCAGTTATCCTCTTTAATGGAGATTTCTTCTTACTTTGTAAGCATACTTGAGCATACAATTGTAGGCGATTATCCGATCCTTGCAAAACAGACCAGTTAGTGTTCACCAAAGCAACCCCCTACATCATGATATGATATAACGTATCAACTTTCAAATATGCATCCATCATGAGTGACAATGGAATAAAGTTTGGATGAAAATAACTTCCAACTATATTACAACCAGGTTACAAAATCACAGCTCCAGGTATAAAACAATAAAAATCCAGCCGATCCACTAAGATTGAAATTCAAAAATGAATCAAAAGGTTCCATACAGCAGAAGCAGTTCCAAAGTCTATTCAGCACAAGTTAGATATAGGAATCACATGGATTATGAAGCCTTTATCCTCTTCTTCGAAAAGGCCCATATAACCGACAAACAACTTTGGCAAAGGCTGGAGGTTCCATAATCAGGTTTAAATATATTTTCACTTCACAAACACAATTAAATTACTCAAAATTAAGCACAAAATAGTTTTAGGAGAACAGGTCTGGTAATAATTAATAAACATTTACCTGACGCATCATAAAATCGACAATTCCCAGTCATGGAGCCAACAACTACACCCTGCATGAAAGGAGATTGTGTACTGAAAACCATTATAATCGAAAACATTAAGCTATCATTCTAAGAATATAATGAAGGAAAAAGTTCACCATACCTTTCCATCAGGACGAAAACAAAGAGCCGTGACTATTTCAGTGATGTCAATCCAGTCAACAACCTGGCAAACAGGAATTGCCCAGATACGTACCTTCCCATCTATGGAACTGCTAATGAAGTAATTATCATCCACAGGATTAAACTGAACACATGTGACTGTATCACACAGTAGCACAAAATTAAATCAAAAAAGGGATAAAAATAAAAAATGGCCCGAGCTATCAGTCAACAATAACTGATGTTTTTACACCAGATATACATTACAAAGAAACTCCAACAAGCAGCGAAGGACATACCATAATTATTGTGGGAAAAGACTTTGAGGCATTGGTCGCATCCCAATTGCCACAAAAGAACAGTTTTATCAACAGAGGATGACAAGAGATACTGCACAGAGTACAGGTAATTAGATACCCAAATATATTTCAGAGAAAAAGAAGTGAATTACTTTTGAGCCTTCACTAACCTTATTCCTTGACCATGAGAGATCTAAGACCTCACCACAATGTCCAAAGAACTCATGGATCGGTCTTTCCAATATTTGAAAAACTTTCTGAGGAAAAATGACACAAGCTGAGTCTGATGTTTTCCGTACACCCTTCAATTTACCCTTATTCTCTTTATCCATGCAAACAGGAACAAGTTCAGAAGGGTTATTCGTGGTGAAGTACACACATGAAGGATCGCAATCAGCAGCTTCAAAATCCTCTGATCTCTCTGACTCCACCACTTGCCACACACGTACTATTCCATCTTCACCAGCACTCGCTAGGTATTGACCATTGGGACTAAATTTCATTGTTAAGATCGAACCCTCATGGGCCTGTACATCTTGTCCCATATAGAGAGCTGATAATTCCTTTGTTCCCTTTCTGTGAGATCGAACCCTAACTTTTTGAGTCCTTGCCCTGGTAATTGAGTAGGAATCATTGGCTATCATTCCACCATCCACAATGCAGGCTACAGAACCTAGTCTCCTCAACCACCCCTTCTTCACCTGCTTTCTTGCTGCTCCCAAAATGCCCCCATCTCCAGCATCTCTCTGCATCACTTGCTGAACCAAGGGGGATAAACCAATACTCCTCTCAAACTCCTCCAAAGTAAGTAAACGGTTTGAACCCACTTCACGAAGTCTCCCCAGCATACCATCCTGCCCAAGTTCATCCACAATGAACTCAGTCCCATCATCCAAATTCCTAATTCGACGTACACAATTCTCTTCTGTTGTCCCATCATACAATTCCCTCGCATCACTCAACCAGTGAGACAATGAAGACTGACTACACGACAATCCATCATCAAAACTGGATGATCCTAGTACTGCCTCACTATTCTTAGTGAGTCTATCAATCTCCACTTCAACTTCGTCACAAGAAGTTATACCATTTCCAGGAGTGTCACTCACAGTTTGATCTACACATAATGCCATCCATTTTAGAAATTTATCACGCCGTTCATGAATGCTATTCGGATTCTTAATCCAAATTTCATATCCAAAACTACTGGGCAAGGTATTAACGACCCCGAAATCAGAATCCATATGTTCCGGACTATCGGAGCCCGAATCAGATACAGAGGACATGTCCTCACGGGTGTCAAAGTATTGATCATCTTCTTCACTCAAGCTCCCCATTATTGACACTCACCGATTCCAAAACATTTCATATCTCATTAAGCCTATTTCCTAAAAATATGAAACAGATAAATATTAATGCCTACAAATGCTCATGGTCACTCCACCGTAAAAAACGAACCAAAAACACAGACCCCAAACAAACGCACCAAAACATGATAATAAGAAAGAAATAGCAGTGTTAAAGTAAAACCCAAATCTAAAAACTAACAATACTCCATCCAGACAGATGAGTGCATATTAAACAGAGCATTGGCGGAGAAAATTTTATAAGACAATAATAAACAAGTAATAAGTAATAATTCCCCCTCAATAGAGAAAATATAAAATAGAAGCGAAACAAACAAGAAAGTGATTTTGAAGTGTGTAGTGTAGAGTTTGGGCACCTAAGGTTTTTGATAAGAACTCCGTCAAACAAAACAATCCTTCGTCATCTATTCATGGGGATTATTGGATTCACACCTCGGTCTTATTTTTTCATTTTATATTTCTTCCATATCTTGGACTTGTTGGCTCCTGTAGCTCTACAGTCTAGACGTAGTTGGAAATTGGAAGGCCAGGGAGTTGAATAATCAATATGGACGGCTAGTGATAGGGCGGCTAAGGCCTGTGTTTTTGTACTTTGTACGGTTAGTTTATCAAAAAGGATTTATTTTATTAGGAACCATTTGTAATTTGAAATTAGGGTCATGGAGAATCTTAAACAATGGATGTGTATTCAGTATTGTATTGTGTTGGTGAGTGATGCTCTGAAGAAGCACGCGGTTATCCTTTGTCAACTCCTTATACTCACGTGCCAGGTTCCAATCGGTTCTTTTGAACACCCCTAGGTTTCAAGGTGAATGTTGTGCCAAACAGGTTGATTTTTGAACACAAGTATGAGAAGAGAAGCTACAAACTCAGTATAGAGGGGCCAAAAGTAATGAAAGAATTAGTAGTTCATGGTTCTCTTAGTTGGGTAAATGCTGAAGGCAGGCATGTGGTGAGGAGTCCAGTTGTAGTAACCAGAGTTAAACCATAAGCCACAAGTTTTGTGAAAAATAAAGAAAAGCACGAATAAAAGTATATTAATAAAATGGTGCTCCTCCCTATTATGTTAAATTGCTTCAGAATTTGTGTGACCTTGAAACTAAAAACAGAACATATGTTAGATTCGTCATGAGTTTCAGCACATACTCTAACATTGATATTTGGTTGACAGCAAAATCCGAAACCCACCTGCATGATAAGATATTCGATATAAAAAAAAAAAAAAAAGGATATGGTTTTACAAGTTCCAGATATTGTAGCTCTCATCATTAAAATTTGGTGAGATATGAAAATGACTAAACGAGAGGATCACAACTGAGCTGGTAAAATGGTAAGCCCTTATTATGGCCTAAGACCCGCAAAGCCCATACGCCAGGTCCACTCTCGTACAATTAAAGTCATCCAGCCATGCAAAAATTATGGTGGATCTTTGACCTAGTAGGGATGTAGACATGTAGTGAGATCATAAAATTAATTTCCTTTTTCTTTTATAATTATATGATGCATTGACATGTGACAGGATCTTGTAAAAGATCCAATCAGGGGAGTATGGGCTTCTCTCTCAAATCTAAATCATGTACTACTTACTAAGTTCTAGCATTTTCCCAGGAGATCAGATTTGGCTAAAAATTACCATATGCCAATACCAGTAAGTAAGTTTGTTCTCTTCCTTACATTCTTGGATTCAAATTTTAGGATCACCTATCACAATAATATTATGGTTTACCTGATTTTTTAGCCTTGTAAGGTATTCAATAGACTCTACGAATTAGTTGAGGTACGCACAAACTGATCCGGACATCTCGGTTATAAAATAAAAAATTATAAGAATATATGCATAATCCATAATACAAACTTATAATTTTAAGTTGGATATCAAATTTCGATCGGTAATATAAAGACCAGTAAAATTGAAACCAAATTGTGCGCTCTTTAAGGCGCTCAACTCGTAAGAGCAGTTGGCCAGTTGGGCCATGCCTGTAGATATGGAAGAAAGACTTGTCTTGTTGTCTTGACTTGAAGGCCTTTCCCATAATCTTCTAATTAGTTGTCCAACCGACGGCGTCTTGATTTATTTGCTATTAATTGAACCTAGTGGCTGAGATCTGATAAGAGAACATAATTGACTCATTCATATAATAGCCCGTATAATGCTCTTCATCAGAAATTAAAGTTAAAGAAGGAGGCAAATATTGATCTCACCAGGAAGTTTTTGTTGTATATAATAAGCCTTACAGAGACTCATTACCCCTATACACCTAAACAATTAATTAGTAATTACTCACATTGTGCTTAGTGAAGGCATTAATGAAAATTGGCACTTGGTACAATAAATAATACAAAAACCACAACCAGACAATTGCCAGTCTCTGTCTACGTACAAATCCACCATCTCCCATTTATTACTATCACCTTCAAGACTTCGATGACATTGAACAAAGCTCAATATAACGTGCGCCAACAGGACGTACCTTAAATTGTTATAGATCTTCCTTACACATACAACCACCACTGAAAATATATTAAATATAAATTCTCACCCTCACTCAGTATTACTTCTCCATCTCTCTGTTGAATTAAACAAAACTACATCAAACAACAATGTCTGCTCAGCTCTCAAAAACTGACTCGGAGGTAAGTAGCCTGACTCAGTCCTCGCCCACACGATCTCCACGCCGAGCAGTTTACTACGTGCAGAGCCCGTCAAGAGATTCTCACGATGGTGAAAAGACGACAAACTCCTTCCACTCGACGCCTGTGCTCAGCCCCATGGGCTCACCACCTCACTCTCATTCCAACTCTTCTTTAGGTCCTCATTCTTCTCGTGAGTCGTCCTCCACTCGCCTGTCTGCCTCACTAAAACCCCACCACCATCGCAAGAATAATGAACGGAAGTCCCGCAAGCCATGGAAGGAGTTTGACGCCATTGAAGAAGAGGGACTTCTTGATGGAGAAAACATGCACAGTGGTCTTTCTCGTCGCTTCTATTTTCTTACTTTTGTTGTGGGATTCTTTGTGCTTTTTTCTTTGTTTTCTTTGATCTTGTGGGGTGCTAGTAGACCTCAAAAACCTACCGTCACAATGAAGGTCAGATTTCATTATTTATACATTAATATATAAGTCTTTTATTAATTATTATTACTCCTTTGTTAATTAATTTGGTGAAATGGTTATTGGTTATTTTGATTGCAGAGCATTGAATTTGACCAGTTCGTGGTTCAAGCTGGAGCAGATTTCTCCGGAGTAGCAACTGAAATGGTGTCAATGAATTGCACAGTGAAGCTCACATTTCGGAACACTGCTACATTTTTTGGTGTACATGTAACATCAACACCTCTAGATCTATCATTCTCTCAACTCACTGTGGCCATTGGAACAGTACGTAACTAACCTCATTTGTGTAGTTACTTAATTAGTTTTATGTGAGTTAATTTAGGTAATTGGGATATTGCAGACACGTAAGTTTTATCAATCAAGAAAGAGTCAGAGATCAATTACAGTGATGATGAAGGGAAATAACATTCCATTGTATGGAGGAGGAGCTAGCTTGGGCAGTGTAAATGGTGCACCGATCGAAGCAGTGCCATTGACACTGAACTTGATGGTTCGTTCAAAAGCTTATGTTTTGGGGAGACTAGTGAAACCCAAGTTCTATAATAGAGTGGAATGCGGGGTGGTTATGGACCCCAAGAAAATGAATGTAAATATATCGTTAAAGAACAAGTGTACTTACCACTCAACATGAGAGACAGTGAGCATAGTAGCTAGTTGGCAATTGCAAAATTGTGTGGTAAATGGCAGGTATTGACCCAACTATGGAGAGTGGGATCTGGATTTTGTTAAGATCTTCGAGAGTTTAAAATGTAGGAGCCAGCCGTCGGTGGTTTTAATAAATAAATATTGTAATTCTTTAATATTTGGTTTTGATGTGCGTGTTGTGACACTGGAATTAGCATTAGTATACAGCTCAATAATATTTGTTTATATATATATTACATATCAAAAGTTAATACTTGTCTTTTTATAGACTTATAATTAATTATGTATGTGTATGGTGTCTTTTTGTATTTTAAAAGATGTCTTTGCTAAGATTATGATAAAAGTGAATGGAATGTATAAGATTTATGGAAGTTTAAGAATGAATCTTTATTAATTTTAATGAAGAAAAAATTATCATTTTAAAAGTCATTAATTATGTTAATTGTTATAACTAAATAAAAAGAAAATTATTCATTAACTTGGTACATTCCTAATTAAGAAGTAGATTCTTTCAAACTAGCTTTGGACAAAACATTAGTAGGTGGCTCTAGACTTTAAGGTGAGTTAGAATGGATAAATGAAATTACTTTGATTGTCAGTTAACGGATTTTATTGACACTAGGGAGGTAAGTGTTAATTGTTTAATATAAATTGTAACCTTTTAGAATCTGAGGGCTAAGGCTGAATATGGTTTTAACTTTGAGAGGCGAGAATAAAAGTCAACATCCATCCTTATCATATGTTATATGAGAAAATCTAGATCACATTATTCACATCTATGGTAGATGTCATACCATTAACAAATTTACTTGTGTTAAATTTATTTGAAATTAAATATAAAATTGAGAACTAAACAAAAGTCCAACATAAATATAAGGATTGAACTAAACAAAAGTCCAACATTTATTTAGTGTACGCTCTGACACAATGTAGAATTCCCAACAATAACTATAAGTTAAAATTAACTTTATGGTTAACAGTAAAATTGACAAGTATATACGGATGTAGTCAATGGAAGATGATGGAACGATGGAGATCGATGAATGAAACAGCAGAAAGTGACATCAGTTGGAACATAAAAAGCAGAGAATGAAGACAACGGAAATTTTGATCTTAAATTGTTCGGAAAAACAAAGCTTTCTTCGTTAAGGAAAAGCTATGTTAAAGATCAACCCCAGCCCATTACAAAGTCCAAATTATCAGCCCAAGGAAAGTGAAAGTTTGGTTCATTTTACCTTAAACTAAGATAATGGGAACTTTTCTTAAATGTGTAAAGAAGTTTTTTTTTAAGACTGTAGGAGTTGTTGGGACTAGTAAAAATATGTGACACTAATTATTTCTCCATTTTTTATTTTGGGTTAGTTGGTTGTATTTTTGAGAACTGTAATCATCTCCATTTTTCATTCGTGTGAGGCTTTTAAGTTGTAGAAAAACAAAAGGAAAACAAGGAATGCAGTAAGCCTTTCGATTCTTTGTTCATGTATGGTGTTTTTGAGTGCTGTAGAAATGTTTTAATATACATGTTTGAGTTAACATTTGGTATCAGAGCGGGACAACTGGGGACCCTTTTTGGTGGAGCTATCTTGAGTCATGAGGAATTTAGTATTCTGCAAGTTTGTTGATCAAGCTTGTTCGGTATTGTCGCAATCTTGCTGGCACGATGGGTGACCTTCAAGTAGTTGAAGGAGTCAAGAAGCTCAACAACGATAACTACGACAAGTGGGCGACATGTATGGAGTCTTACCTACAAGGTCAAGACCTTTGGGAGGTTGTCGCGGTAATGAAGTTACACAGCCAGAAGAATATGCAAATGGCGTTTTGCGGAAATGGAAAATCAAAGTAGGTAAAGCAATGTTTGCCCTAAAGACCACAATTGAAGATGAAATGTTGAGCACATTCGGGAAGCAAAAACACCAAAAGAAGCATGGGACACATTCATCAAACTTTTTCCAAGGAAGAACGATACAAGATTGTAGCTTCTCGAAAACGAGTTACTATTAGTTGCGCAACGCAAAATGATGATTGCTCAATATTTCCACAAGGTAAAATCGATATGCCGCGAAATTTCTAAATTAGAACCAAATGCTGTTATCGGGGAATCCTGAACGAAGAGAATAATTGTTCATGGTCTAAGGCCTGAATACTGAAGTTTTGTTGCTGCTGTACAAGGATGGTCGACTCAACCATCACTTGTTGAGTTTGAAAACTTGCTTGCTGGTCAAGAAGCTATGGCTAAGCAAATGGCAGGAGTCTCGTTGAAGGGTAAGGAGGAAGCACTCTATATCAACAAAAGCAAAAGCAAAAGCAAAAGCAAAAGCAACTTCAAACAGCACGCTGGAGGCAGATTTAAAAAGGATGGTGACAAGGCAAAAAGTCATCAAGGAGAGGGAGGCTCTCATCCAGGGGAGCTTCAAAGAATCATGGCAACAGGAAAAGATTTGAGGGCAAATGTTACAACTGCAGCAAGAAGGGATACATTGCAAAAGATTGCTGGTCCAACAAAGCTTTATTCGTTAAGGGAAAGCCATGTCGGCAAGGCAGTTGAAGAAATCATAACAATTCTTTACCGCAATAGGCTTTCCCCACCCAAAATCATTACCATAAATTTTGAATCTTAGAGAGCTGCTTATTATAAACGAATTGCTTACAAGACTTGCTCAGTGATGGTATCTGAGGATTTTCCCTCCAAGTATTTAAGAAGTTCTTTATGATTTCTTCTATCTACATAGCAACCATATTGTTTATCTGCCATGCCGCATTACCAAGTTCAACATTGGCTTTCGTCTTGAGTTTCAAAAATACTTCTCTTTGTAAACTGAAAAACTCTTTGTTGCAAAGGTGGTGGCTTGAATGTATTGGAAAGATGTTTGCTGATCGAGATAGGCATGTGAATAGGGCAGTATGTATCACGAAGATACCAACGTTGAAGAACTGGTGGCTTAGATACACAATCAAAACCTTGAGACATTTCAGACCAAGAATTGAAGAAATGCCAAAAGGATGTGCCATCAGCCATGACATGGTTTACAGTAAAACCAATAAATATGCCATTGACAAGCTCAGTTATTTGCACTGTGAGTAATGGCTTGGAGATACCCTCATAGTTGCTAATCCAGTTAACTGGGAAGAAAGAGTAAACAATCTGATCCGGAACATAGACAGGTTCACTGACTTCGGCCACAAGAACTCCATCTACAAAAGCATGAACAAACTCAGCTCCTGCACTGTTGTAGTTTATGAAAAAGGAGGTTGTGGAATCTGTCATGTTCAATGGTGGCAAGGCAGCTAGTGAGTGGAGGAAAAAAGTCTAAGAGTAAGTGAAAGGGTAGTCTTAAAGTGGTGGATGAAGGTCTTTGGGGTTTGTTCTCTGGTAAAGTTGTAGTTTAGTAGAAGAGAATTCCCTTTTAAATATGATCCAATAGGAGGAGACGAAGATCCCACATAGTTAAATCAATCTTAAGGTTTGATTCTTCATGACTTGCCGCACAAACTGTACTAGTTGAGATAATCCGAATGCCTCCACCTGCCAGGTTTCCTCTAAATTAAAACAGTTTTCCTGCATATGCAACTTCAAATCAAAGTGGAGCTTCATAGATGTACTGACTATTGATTGAATATGGTTATAAAACAACTAAAATAATTAGATATCCTATATGTATCGATGGTGAGAAATGCAGCGAAGAGATATTAGTTTTATATCTGTGATTGTTGGTGCCAGGACTAACCAAGTGTAAGGTCTATCTTTCTTTCTTGGTAATTTGAGTAAATAAGTTATTGCTACTGCTATTGGGGATAAGGTTTGATTGCTTAGCACTAATTTCTATCCTCATAACATATCCTTTTCTTTTCGGCTTTACCTTTTTTGTGAAATACGCATGAGTGACAAAAATTGAGTTATGGAAAAGCAAGATCACTCTATCAAGCATAAAAGATGGGAGTACGAGGTTTCCATAAAACATAGCTATGATATGTTAATGACGTTGATGCAACTTGATTACTGAAATATATTCCTAATTAAGAAGATTTTATCAATGTTTTAAAAACCGACCCGGGACAAAACCTGGCAAGTTGGCCGGGTCTTGGGTCGATCGGTTTAACCAGTTGAACATCATGCTGATGTCAGCATGTTACTGTTCACAAAATGAAAAATTGCAGAATTTGAATCAAAATCATAAACTCCTGAATAAAAAGACCTTAGCAAAGCATCATCAAACATCATTACATCAATAATACAACAAATTATAAATCAAAATAACAAAATAGAGGAAGAAATCACATAATATAATAGTTTTTGACTTCTTTCAACACTTCAATATTCTAACAAAAAATCATTTTCACCCGATGGTCTTCAATCCATCATTTCATCCTCAATTAAAATTCACAGTTCACATATCATCCCACAGATGATCATCATCATTAGTAACATTGGCAACATCATCTACAAAAAATTTAGCCAAAAAGGAAAACCATAAGTTAAATATTCTCATTAAAACTAATTGAATATAAAATAGCTATTACCAAATTGAAATTGCTTAAAAATTTGAAAACAACCTTCTGAAGCATCTGTTGAGTCATAATAAGAAGGGTGATCACCACCATCTACAGGAATAGCTCCTTCTTCATATAATGATTGTTCCAATTCGTCATAATTAAGCTCACCAACCTCATCTTTCTCATCAACTATCCACCATTCAGTTTTATCAATACTCTCATAATCAACAGGATCATAAGTAATTTTCTTGCAACAACTCCTGAAATAATGGAATTAAATGTTCAAATCATGATCAATAAAGACATCAATAAGAATAACAAAATGAAGAAGGCTTTATACCTATTTTGCAAACGTAAGTTATAATGAGTGAAAACCAAATCATTCAACCATGGATACTCCAATCTGTTCCTCTTTTTAGTATGTATGCGTTAAAAAACACTCCAATTTCGCTCACATCCATAAGAGGCCAAAGTTTGACTTAGAGTTTTGATTGCAAACTTTTGTAGATTTGGAGCACTAAACCCAAATGTCCTCCACCATTCATCTAATTAAGAATAAAATATAAATTGCATAAGAAATAAACACAATTTTATAACTTAAAAATTAGACTTAAAAAGTTAATATTTAATAACTATTACATACCCGGCAGTGTAGTTTTGCAAGTTTGAAGAGCAAGCTCACGAGAAATGCTTTCTAGACGGTCTCGATATAATCTACTCTCCTCTAGTAACATTGTCTTGCTCATTTTGAATGCACTTGCTTTATTGTCAATAGTATCAAGGAAACCATACATGACCTCAGGTTTTTTGGAAAAAGTAACATCGTCATATTTAAAAGCAGGATTCAAATAATATGCTACTGCATGGATATCATGGCGCAACATCCTATCCCAACACATCTTAATAATTATTGTATAAGGCTTGTACAAACCTTTCTTATTCTTAAACAACTTCTTGATCCCCATTCTCGTTCTGTACATGCCATCATACACATATCCTATTGAAGGCCTCACATCTGAGTCTACAATATTGAGCATACGCATCAGTGGACTCACAACTTTGGTAATTATACCAATGTCATCCCAGAATCGGTTATCTAGAACTATAGAAATAAAGGCTTTGCCTTCATTAGTTTTTGCATATCGAGACTCCACAAAAGTTCTATCTGTCACTGTAGATTACAAGTCATGTTTGTGCTGATGTAGGTTGCTCAATGCAATGAAGGTTGTGGCAAAACGGGTTGCAACTAGGCGTATAATTTCTTTCCAACCCTATTCAAGTGATAGACAATAGATGTTAGTACTTAGTAAATTATTAAAAAATGTACATATATAATATGATTTGACAATGTAAATTACAAACATACGAGGTAAAGGTATATAACCTGTTTTTTCCTTAGCAAAGCTAGCACAAAGGAATGATTATACACAAACTTTGTAACCTCAGATGCACGTTTCGAAAGGTTAACTATGTGACTCATCTCAGCTATGTCTTTCAACATCAAATTAATGCAATGTGCTGCACAGGGAGACCAAGTAATACTGCTATATTTTTCAGACAACATTCTTCTAGCAACTTTATAATTTGCTCCATTGTCAGTGACAAGATGGACAATATTGTTTGGTCTGACCCATAAAGCTATTTCCTCAAACAATCTGAACAATGTTGTCGCATCCTTTACAACATCTGAAGCATCCACTGATTTCACAAAACACACTCCTTTAGGACAGTACACTAGAAAATTAATCAGCGACCTATGTGAATTATCTGTCCAACAATCAACCATTAAAGTACATCCAACATCCTCCCAAGTTTTCTTGCAACCATCAACAAGTAACTGCACTTCTTTCCTAACATCTCTCAATAAATTTACACGCAAATTATGATATGTTGGGATTTTATACCCAGGACCAATTGCAGTTATAGCATCCACCATAAGTAAATTGAATTAATAACATTAATTGGGATGCAAGAATCATAAAATAACCTTACAACAGCCATGTTCGTTCTCCACTTAGCTTCTTTTTCGGCTAAATTAACACTCTTAACTAAGGGCTGAGAGACCCAGGCTTAATCCTTGGAGCAAAATAGTCACCTATCCCAATAAATTTTTTTCTCTTACTGTTTGAAGTTGAAGTTGAAGTTGGAGCTGGACATGGAGAAACCTCTTCAGACTCTTGATCTTCATCTAACATATCACCTTCAAATTGTTGTACACTAGCTCCATAAGGATTGACATTCTTACGAAGTTCAACTTTTTGTTTATTCTTGGCCCTAATTTCATTTAGTGCTTCTTCAATCTTGAATTTAACATCGAAAGGAACTTTAGAGCACTTTCCAACTTCTCCCTTTATACCCGCAAGATGCAGTTTCACTCGATAAATTCCTCCACCTCTGATTATCTTGCCATAGTAAATACATGTTAATATCTTCTTCCCATTTTCATCCACGCTCTCATTAACATGTTCCCATGCTATATCATTTCTTCCTCGAAAAGTTTGCGAAACATCCATGGAAATAGATTGTTGACAAGACCCAGATGATGACATGTTCTCTGTCTTTAATGTTGATCTCTAACCTGGTGATACAAATAACAAATAAGTTAGTAATAATTAATAATTAACCCTTATTACTACATAATCATGCATTGTGGCAATTAACCTCAATCAACCAAATACTCATGCATTGTAAATATGCATTATTAATAATTAACCCTTGTTACTACATAATCATGCATTGTGGCAATTAACCTCAATCAACCAAATACTCATGCATTGTAAATATACATCATTAATAATTAACCCTTATTACTACATAATCATTGAGTCACCCATTGCTTCCAGAACTTTAAGGTTTGGTTTGGGCAGTTTAATTTGACCCTAACATTGAGATATAGCTGCTAGGGGTGTTCGGTTCTGGGTATCTTACACTTTTGGAAGGAACTGGAACCGGAACCGGAACCAACGGTTTTGGTTCCTAGATACCCAGAACCAGAACCTATAACAACGGTTTCGGTTTAGGTTCTCGGTACCCTGTAAAATTCATTATCCCCCCCCCCCCCCCCCAGAGTTTTTAAAATGACAAAAAACTCTTAAAAACTTACAAATACCCCCCACTTGGCACTTGTTAACAAAATTAAAATTATAAATTTCAAACTCCAAAATTAAAATAACCCATTGAATATCACAAATTCAAAATTAAAATACTACAATAATCCGTTGAAAATCACAAATTCATAACTCCAAAACTAAAACGATGAAATTACATTACATATAAAATAAGTAACATAACAATTAACAACATCCAAATATGAAAAACTAAAAATATCTCATGCTCCATGCTCTAAATTGCTTGCCTCATGTGCATTAATTTCTACAAAACAAATACAAGAAAATAAATTAGTAAGTTCAAAATATTGAATAAAATAATTTGGGAATAAATTAACTAAATATGAATATAAAAGATTGATATTATTTTGTTACCTGAGTTCTGCATCCATCAAGTAATCCTCAAAAGTAGTTGGGGTATATGTATATCTCAACCAATCTTGTGCACAAACTAATGCTTCCACAAAGAACTCCGAAAGTGATCAAGTACACGACCCGATGTACTGAAAGCTGACTTAGAAGCAACTGTAGATACTGGAATAGCAAACACATCTCTTGCCATATACGAGAGAATCTTTTACGTTGCAGCATTTACTTTCCACCAATCTAGTATGTTCAAGTTGGACTTCACGGGTAGACATTTCTCCTCGAGGTAAATGTCTAACTCTGATTTGGTCATATCATGAACCTCTACCTCCATCTCCTCCTCATACTCGTCTAAGGAGGGGTTGTACGCAGTCTCATCACAACTCACACTAGTAACTGAAGACTGGCCAATTCCGATAATTTGGGAAGAACAATAAGTTTGACTTTCTTGGAAACTTGATACAACCTCCATATAAAAATCATACAATCGTTGTAACAAATCTCTCAACTTTCTAGACATCAACCCAACCTTTTGCAAATCATTGCCATAAATCTTTTTGTACCCCCATTCCACATATTTCATTTTAAACCAAGGATCTAAAACCGCCGTAATTAATACCATCATGTTCGATCTATCAACACTTCCATAATACTTATCAAACTTCTCTTTCATTTTCTTTGACATGTTGTTAAGTATTGGATTTGTCTCTTTCTCCCAGTCATTCAAACAAAGCACAATACCAATTGTCTCTTGAAAGTAAGTGTTAGAAGTCACATAGTTTGACCTTGACATTTTTTTTGTAGCTTCATAATTTTTTTTGAGGAATTTAGCAAATACATTTGCTTTTTCCCAATCTTTGTTAGAAGGTGTATTATGTGACAATCCGCAATGTAGTTGGGATCCTCATCTTCCAACCTTTGAAAAACTTTCTTGAATTTTACTGCAACATCTAACATCAAATAGGTGGAATTCCATCTAGTAGCAACATCAAGACACACACCACCTTTATAAGCAATCTTTTCTTCTTTCACACATCTCTGAAACGTTTCGGCTCTAGCAGGGGAACTCTTCACATACTTAACTGAATTACGAATTTGGCTAATACAATCTTTTGTCTCACTAAGACCATCCTTCATGATCAAATTCATAATATGAGCAGTACATCTCATATGGAAGAACTCACCATCCAGAAGTAGTGCTAATTTGCCCCTCAAGTAAGCGATTGCCATGTCATTAGCGCTAGCATTATCCACCGTTATAGTAGACACTTTATCTTCAATACCCCAATAAAAAATGCATTTCTCAACCACTTTGCTTATCTCCCTTCCCTTGTGACTACTAATAGGCACAAAACTGAGAATTCTTTTATGTATAACCCAATTTTCATCAATGTAGTGACCAATGAGACATAAGTAGCTAATATTCTGAATTGAAGTCAATATATCGGTAGTCAAAGCAATCATAGACTTTAGAGACAACAACTTACTTTTCAGTAAAACCTTCTCATAATCAAAACGTTTCACAACATCCCTAGCCAATGTGATGCAAGAAATATTTGACCACAAAGGTTGTAATGAATTTAGAAATCTCCTAAACGGTGGCTACTCCACCATTCGAAAAAGTTCTTCCATAATAATAATCATTTCAGCAAGCAACTGCCTAGACACCTCTTGATTGAATTTCCATGTGTTAATCGTACTACTTTCCTCTCCTTCTTTGTTTATGGTCTTGAAAGATGAGATAAGTGTTTGACTTCTATCTACATTGTTTGGGCATTTCTTACAATTGGATAAATGCTTACGCATAGAAGAAGTTCCATTCATCGCATTATACACCAACATCTTTCCACAATACGAACACTTCGTTTAGTCTGCCATGCCAGTTGTCTCATTGAAAATTTTCTCAAAGTGTTGCCACATGTCAGATGGCTTATGTTGAGCACACACATTTGAGATAGACTCTCTAACAATATTAGGCATATCCTCCCCAATGTCAATGTTCTCTCTATTTATTGACGTTGTTCCTACAAAAAATTTGCCAAGTTCAACTTCAAAAGAATTTAAAATACATATAATGTTTAATAAACATAGTGTTTATGTGATATTATGCCATCAATAAATAAAAATATTATCTTAACATATCAACATAATGGTATGTTTCTTAGAGAATTGGATAATACTTTATCTTTAAGAAGTCAAAAAGCTGAACTTATGGTACATCCATGTCTTAGTGAGGCATACAGTTGTTAAAGAGTTCATTTATATAACAACAAATAGCTCAATTAATCATTATGATATTCTATGGTTTTAAGATCCAACTTTATACAAGATAAATCAATATTATGAAATCAGTTGATCAAATTTATTTGTATGGTGTGACTAGTAACAGCAACTACAACGCATGTCCTGTGACAAGTATCTGACACAAAATTTCATTTTGAATGTCCATGTTACATAGATAAAAATAAGTAAGAGATGATTACAATTCAATAAGGTACACCTAACAAAGACATTTAAGAAATCCATACAACAGACTTCCATAAACATCAAGTATTGCATTCCAAAGGATTCTCTAGCAGCTGCAGTTCGGTTTGTCATTATTTATGGTGAAACAAGGCACTACGATGTGTGAGCCAACAGAAAAAATTAACAAGGACTTGACTAACAACATGTACAGGTTGCCTAACCTGGCCAGATCCAACAATTATCAAAATAATCAGGAAATGGAATACCTATACTACATTCAAAGCTTTGGCAAGAGTATTGACATCCAGCTTAGTCGGAGACCTAATATCCCATAATCTTGGACCACATGATAACACTTAACAAGTCATAATGTTCAAGAAATGACCAAATTTCAAGCCCCCACATGTATTCCAAAAACATTTTGATTTACGAATCATTGAGGGAATTTCTATGTAAAATGTGTGCAACTGAAAACTGTTTTGAATTCAAATTAAAGCAGAAATGAAGTTACTCTATATCAAGTTAAAACACTATATACACCAGCACAAATGTAGGCGCCACAACATCAACTATGCATTTGTCGACACACAGAGCAAAAGAAGGTAGGGTTTTCAATTTTATCTATGATATCACCAAAAGTAACAGTAACGTCAAATTAGAGACATTCACAAACCGAAACAATGCTAAGGATTTTCAAACATCACTATGATAAGAAAAATGAATAAATATATAAAATCAAATCCATCACAAATAAACCCATAGCTAACTTGATAACGACTTTTTACACAATAATTACTCAGCATACACATCACAAGTTAGGTATTGTGTGATATAGAGTTCATTTATGGTCAAATAAAATTAAAAGAAAGAAATGTAAATTACCTTAAGAAATTGGAGTGCTTTAGTGTCTTTTTCTAGATTCTAAGGATCACGCTTCACCAAACTAGACAAATTAAAAGAAAAAAAATTTGAAGTTTTTGCCTTAATCTGAAGTGAGTGAATAGAGAGAAAGAGTAGACGAAGATCGAAGAGATCTGAGAAAGGAAGAAAGAAAATGAATTTTTTTGCCCTAATCTGAAGTTTTTATATGTGGCAGGTAAATTACAAAACCCCCCACTCTTTAATAATATTTCATTTCAATCCTGATTCTCGGTTTCGGTTCTGGTTCTTGACTGTAGAAATTGGAACCGTATAGTGTTGGTTCCAGATTTTTGAAACCAGAACCTACCCGTTGACGATCGGTTCTGGGTAGGAACCAGAATCAGAACTAGAACCAGAACCTAACCCTGAGTACCCAATGGTTTCGGTTCCGAACTATTCTTTTGAACACCCCTAATAGCTGCCATTGCACTTTAAATTATTTAAAACAACTCAGTTTGTTATTCTGATAAAATACTTTCATGACAGTAACAAGAGTTTGAAATTTAGCATAAGAAATTTGTAGTTGACCTTAATACTAGGTACTAGTGGGGCGAAGAGGGTTTTGAGTTTTGACTTGATTGTGCATAGAGTAGATAGTGGAGTTTGATGGTATAGAAAGAATATTATAGGGAAAAAAGTTGGTGGTTTGTTTAGAAAAGAACTCGAGGCTGAATAATCAATCCTGTTGGCTCTGCTTCAGAATGGTTCCCTCTTTAGTTGTCTTAACTCTCATTGGGGATTACATAGAGCACGCGGCTTTACTAAGAGAAATGTTTAATTAAAAACCAGATTGATACACTTTTGTCATTGTCAATGAATTAGATAATTATGGCATCTTGTAATAAATGAATTTAGATTTGTATAAATTAATATTTGCTTTTCCTGTGAAAAAAAATAACATAAATCACTTAATATGAACTGGTATTGGACAGTCACTTGAATCCCTGGAATTGGCCTAACGTTCATGTTGAAGTTGAAGTCAGAAACGGCGTCGCACCACTTATCTTATACGCTGTTGTTTTTTACTTATGCCTTTTCTAACCGTTGGATTGCTTGAACTAATCTGATGGCTATCCTAATGCCACCAGGGCAGTAGTATAAAAGCCTCCCCTCTCTCATCTGAAGTATAACAGAAACTGTAGCTCATTCAACATCTCTCTCTCTCAATTGTATCACACAAGAGCCTGCATTTTTTTCTTGTTTTTGCTGCAAATTATGTCATTACAGTAAGTGTTTTTCAGTCACTTTGTGAAGGTTGAGTTTACTCTTGGGTGCAAGGGTTTCCAGGTAGAGTTCCCTTGGGGCAGATTTGTAGGTATAAAGAAGAAAGTGTTTAGTGGGAAGAGAGCAAGGTTAGTAGAGTGTGGGTGTGTGTAATATGTAACAAAAGTTCTAATTAGTGTAGAGAGCTCCTCAATTGTAGAGTTCAACATGGATGTAGCTTATCCAAATCTTGGATAAGTGAACCACGATAAATCGTGTTTTTCTTGGTTGATTGCTTTGTGTGTGTCGTGATTGTTCTTAATTTTAGTTTGTTAAGTTGAATTTGGTAATTGGTTTGAATCTCTACAGTGGTATCAGAGCTAGAAATCTAGGGTTTGTTGATCTCTAAGTCTGTTCTTGAATTAAGAGTTCGTCGAATTTTTTGGGGGCTTTCACGATCTGTAAGTCCCTTAGAGTTCTAGGGTTCTTAAATCTAAGATTCGAGTTATCAATTTTGCGATTTGGTATTTTTTTTCTTGAAATCTAGGGTTTATCGAATTTGGGGGTTTTCTGGATCAGTCAGTTCTTTGAGGTCCTAGATAGATTAGAGTCCATAATCAGGGTTTAATTGTGACAAATTAAATTAGTTTCGAGTTCTAGGGTTTCTTTAATTGGGATTCTTTTTTATATCAGTATCAAGAAACCTGGTATGACTACAACACACATGGAGATCACCAAGTATGATGGGAGGATTGATTTCAACAGCTGTAAGAAGAAGATGAAGGAGTTACTATCACACAACAAGGTTGCTACAACAAAGTGGCCAAAAGAAAAATTAAAGAAAACGGCTGAAGTTGATGAAGAAGCGTACAACCTCATCATCATAAATCTCTCAGACAAAGTCTTGACGAAGGTAGATGGCATGGAGACTCCATTAACTTTATGGGGTAAACTCGATTCACTATACTTTTTACAATTTGCTTATAAAATGGATAGCTCTAAATCTATAGAAGATAATTTGGATGAATTCTTCAAAATGACTTTAGTTTTAAAGGGAACAGATCAAGAATTAGGAGATACAAGTTTAGCTATGATACTCCTTAATTCCTTAACAGAAGAGTACCATGTTGTTAAAAATGCTTTAGAATATACAAGTACTATACCTAGTCTTGATTTAATCATTGCTAGATTAAAGGCTAGGGAGTTAGAATTAAAAGTTCAGAAAAGGAGTGGGAATAGCTTGTTTGTAAAGGGTAGAGTAGAATCTGGCTAGTCAGGAAAAAATGCACAAGGTGTCACTGGTTCAAAGAATAAGAAGAAAGGAAAAGGATTTGTCAAGAATAAATGGGAGTTTTTATTGCAATAAAACTGGACATTTAAAAAAGAATTGCTTTGAGTGGATTAAAAAACAGAAATAATCAAACACTGAAAGTAATGTAGCTTCCACTAGTGACAGTATCAATGTATCTGAAGTCCTCACAGTGTCTAGATCAGACCAGGTTCAGGAATGGGTTCTAGACTTAGGGTGTTCTTTTCACATGAGTCCGAATAGAGAGTGGTTTCAAGTCTTTGAAAAGGATGAACATGAAATAGTGTTTATGGGCAATAACAATGTATGCAAAGTTCGAGGAACAGGGAGTGTAACCTTAAGATTGATTAATGGGAAATTGATAATGTTGACTAAGGTTAGATACATCCCTAAGCTAAAAAGAAACTTAATCTCTCTAGGAACACTAGATGAATCAGGATGTTGTTATAAAGCAGAAAATGGATGCCTTAATGTGTATAAAGATAACAACATAGTGCTAAAGGGTCTGAAAAAGAATGGGCTATATTTATTATGTGGGAACCACTGCTCTGATAAATCCAATACT